TCTCATACAGGTAACAGATTCATTTTCCTTCATTAGCTATAACCGATGTTGCCAAATGGTGAAATAGAAACTGTAGTGTATCCGAATTGTTTGAGATAAAAACTGTTTATTTTTTGTATGCGTGACCTTTGGAGATAGCAGTTCAGTTGAGTTTGGGAAATAAAATGGAATGTATGAAAACCGTGTCTTATTGTTAAAAAATAGTGAAGTACATTACAGAAACAAATCCCTTTAAATGTTGAATGCATTATTTCATTCCTGTTTTTCAAGTATTTAAATATTTTTTTAAAGAAAAAGGTTGAAATGATAAGTTTAAAATGCGTTGTTTTAGAGCTCTTTTATGAAAACTACTCGATTTTCATCAGAAGGAATTTGGGGCATGAAGCGAGTGGTAGCAAAGTTCGTTCCCAAATTGGGAGGGCCAAGACCGAAAAAAAGCACGCCAAGTTCGATCAAAAGTCAAGGTTTTGGTCATTGTTTTCTTCGATTACCGTGGCGTAGTGCATCAGGAGTTCTTGCCACATGTTTGTACGGCCAATAAGGAGTACTTTCTTGATGTTATACGCCGCTTAGGAGAAACAATGCGAAGAAAACGTCTGGTATTGTGGAAAAACAATTCATGACTTATGCATCACGATAATGCACCTGCTCACTCGTCATTGATTGTTCGTAATCATGCCTCAACCACCATATTCACCAGATTTGGTCCCCTGCGACTTTTTTCTCTTCCCAAGATTGAAGAGACTCTAAGGACGGCTTGTTGCCACGATTGAGGAGATACAATCAATCCGATTCGATAAGAGAGCTCAAAGGCAAACCAAAAAGTGCATACTAGAACTTCTTCGAGAATTAGAAAACAAGCTGGCACTAGTGTATTATATTTGAATGGGATTTCTTCGAAAGTGACAAAATAGAAATTGTAGATAAATAAATATTTTTTGAGAAAAATAAAAATTTGACATATTTTCAACAGATCTCATATATAGGTACACGAAATCAACCAAAAATACGAAATCAAAAGTAGGCCTTCATTTTTTTAAGATCGGTGCCAAAATCATGAACAAGTTATAATTTATATTTGATACATACTTTTGTAAGTTGGTTGATCTAAAAAAGTAATTGATCAAGACGCCAAGATACCAGAAGCAGAATCAATAAAATTTTTGTGGACACACTTACGATGGTATTTAGAAACTAGTGATATTTGTGATAAATTGGTAGGTTTTCGTTCTCGTTTCAAATTTGTGAAAAAAGTATACAACGTAGTTTTAAATTTTTAAGTCCCAGATTATATATAACACATTACCAGATAACCTAAAATCTTTGAATAATTTTCAGAAGCAGTGTTAAACACTGGCCACATTCAATAGAAAGAACAAGAATTCATGACACTATAAATAATAAATGATTTAGGAATGAACTCATTACATGACTATTTATTCAAAATATTCGGCACTAGACACCGTTTCTCCTTATTGGTAATCCTGGCTATATTTACACTCATGGCCAGATTTAGGGCAGGGTAAGCGGGGCTACTGCCTCGGGGTCTCCACAGTTGGAGGCCCTAATAAAAATAAAAAATATCCACATTGTTTCTATTTTAACTAAGAATACTTGCCCAAAAAGTAATTTTGTTTTCCATATATCAGAAAGCCCTGATTGCAAGTTTTCATTTACTATCAATCTTTGATTTGATCCAGCATTCCAGTGGCAATACTTTTTTTATGTGTAATCTGTACCCATGAGTTCAATAGAAATGAAATAAGTACAAAAATTCGAAAAATAATTATTGATTATGGCTTCTACGTCTTCATTGTCCCAGGGCCTCCAAACTTCTAAATCCGGTCCTGCTTACACTTACCTAATTCATGTATTTTCTCCACGACATGTCAATAATCTGTAATATATATGTGATTTTTTCTCTTGCAGCATCATTATATATTAAATTATAGCTTATAGTTTTGGCTAAGCCTATAATTTATCTATATAATCAATAATCAATATTTTTGTTTTCTTATATTACATACAAGCTGTAATACGTTGTATCGTTTATATACCATCACAACAAGCTTCCTTTAAGGAGGCCCTAGACGGTCAATCATTTTGATTGACCCAAGCGTGATTGACCGTTTAGGAACCTGTTTGACGCTCGAAGCAAGGCTTGATGGTGATTGATAGAAAGTTTGAATGACTCATGCGGTTGAAGGAGGGAGTTGACCGTCTAGGACAGAGGTTCCGAAACTTTTTTTTATCATAGACCACTTTGAAAATTTTGCTGTTTCCGTTAGACTTCCTGCAGATACATTTCTACCATATTCCCAAAAGTCAACAAAAAATATGAAGATTAGATCTAACTATGGAAATTCGCGTTGCGGCTACGTTCCAATCACGAATCAACAGTTTTCGAATAAAAAGTGATGATTTATCGGTTAATTCATCCATTGATTGTGCTGTGAGTGGATGTATAAAAAAATGAAGTTGGTCAATCAAAAAAGTTAATTCATCTAACTTTACTTTTTTGACATCTACTCGCGGAACAAGAAATCAGTCAATTCTCACTCATTTAGAACTTATTTAGAAAAATCCCCATTCAGTATGGTGAAAATAAAAAGAAAAATGGTATATTTACTCGTGTTATTCATTCAAATACATAATTATCACACTATTACTCAGTCGCGATATAATTAAAATTTAACATCAATAACGTAATTTCTATACTACAATGCCAATTACAAAATAGTCATAATTTCATTGCAAGGGATGTATACTTGGTCTGTGATATTCCATCTACAAGTTTTCACATGTAACAGTCGCTGAGCTTCTTGAAATATTATCTGCCTACATTGACAGGTGAAGTTAAACCAACAGTTTGATTCTTCACTATTGAAACCAGATAAATTTTCGTGGACCCCCGCTTACGAATTGTGAACCCCCATTTTATGGTCACGCCAACATAGACCCCCGTCGAGTCTCTCGTGGACCCCTGAGGGTCCATCTAGACCACTTTGGGAAACACTGGTCTGGGACAATTTTCGTCAAGCGTTGCGTCAGTCACTAGATAGAAACCATGGTGTCCGCTACGCAAAGTGAGCTTCCCGAAAACTCTAAGCGGGAATTTATTAACCTGTTGATTGAATTATATCGCGATTGTTCGGAATTATGGAAAGTGATGAGCAAGGACTATTACAACAGAAACAAGAAAACTACATCATTACCATGTACTAGGTACTCCTTCAACCACCGTCGTTTCTTTTTCTGTTGTTTTTTCCGCTTGAGGGCAACCAATGTGAGGGACAGGAAGGCCAAATCCGTGTTCGAAACCATTGCTCACAAATGAATCACCAGCGAACGAACAAGTGTGCACTGGTCCCATTTCTGGCGAGAAGAAGGTTTTGATCAAATGATTGAAGGGCTGATTGCAGTTGATTGAAGCGTCCATCAATCGATTGACTCAATGGTTTGATAAAGCAGATTGATCGTTTAGGACCACCTTTACAGAAAGGTGAAACTGGAACCTCTGACGCAGAATACGTCCAAAACAAGGTCTTTTCCCAATCACTAGAAATGTAATACTCTTTCCGACGCGCCCTGCAGGAGATGAAGAAAACCAAGTATCAGTCAGCTGTTTGCGAACAAATCACTTTGCTCATGTTCAGTCAATTATTTCCTATGGGAGTATATTTTGGAGCTCTTCATCAAGCTCACAAAGAATGTTCATAACACAAAAGAAAATTATGAGATGTACACTAGGATCGAGTCGTAATACTTCATGTAGAACATACTTTTCTGAACTAGACATCTTGACAGTGCCTTCACTGTATTTCCTGGGCTTGTCAACTTTGTAAAGAAATATCCCCATCTGTTTCCTACAAATGCTGATCAATATTCTACTAATATGAACCTCCACATTAGACATCGAAATGAGCTATCTGTCCCTTATCATTAATCAACTCATTATAAGAAAGGCACACACTACCAATCAATCAAAGCATACACCTCACTACCTCAAGTACTGAAAGATATCAAAGGCCTGAAGAGGTTTAGGAGTTCTGTCATAAGTTACTTAAAGCAGAAACGCTATTATTCTTTTGTTAGATGTAATAACATGTATTAGTTTTAGAAACTCATTCAATTGTTGATTTCAATTGTTTTCATGTTATAAACATTATTTTTACATTCCTCCGATTATGGCTTCATATGTCACCCTGTATGGTCTGCAATTATTGGCAAACGGTGCTGTAAAAACACAAGACCCATGAAAGAATTGCTAAAGCACGTTCTACAATTTACGAGAGGTATGAAGTTGCAAAATAACATGGCATATTTCTCCCGGGTCACTACCAAATTGCCCATGTTGCTGACTTTGATCAATTTTTTCTCAAAACTGTCTATTATTTTTCGTTGTGACCGTGGAGACTTTTTATCAGGACATCAAAAAGTTCATCATACCAAAAAATCAGCAAAGTTCACCAAAAGCCATTTCCCATAAGGTTTGTGCTTGGTCCTTCTACACTCAAATGGTTTTTCACCTGTATGAACTTTTTCAAGACTTTTTAGTCATTACTTCAAGTGAGTGAGCAATTTTTACACTGAAATTATTTTTTCTGCAGTATGAATCTTTTCATGACGTTTCAAATGAATTTTTTGATTGAATGATTTTGAGCAGATTTTACACTTGAATGATTTTTCACCTGTATGAATTTTTTCATGTCTCTTCAAGTCATGATTTCTAGTGAGTAACTTAGAACAGATTTTACACTGATATGATTTGTCATCAGTATGAATCTTTTCATGATCCTTCAGATGGCATTTATGAATGAAAGATTTAGAACAGATTTTGCACTGAAATGGTTTTTCGCCGGTATGAATTTTTTCATGAGTTTTCAAATTATATTTCTGAATGAATGATTTCGAGCAGATTTCACACTGAAATAATTTTTCGCCAGTATGAATCTTTTCATGATTTTTCAAATCATATTTTCGAAGGAATGATTTCGTGCAGATTTTACACTGAAATGGTTTTTCACCAGTATGAAGTTTTTCATGACTTCTCAAATAACATTTTTGAATGAAGGATTTGGAGCAGATTTCACAGCTGAATGGTTTTTCGCCAGTATGAATCTTTTCATGATTTTTCAAATCATATTTTCGAAGAAATGATTTTGAGCAGATTCCACACCGAAACGTTTTTTCGCCAGTATGAAGGTTTTCATGTCTTTTCAAATCATAACTTCTACTGAATGACTTTGTGCATATTTTGCAATCATATAGGATCTTCTTTGTTGGTCTATTTTCAGTATCACTTCTTTCATTGAAATTTTTCACGCATATTTCATTTTTCTCATTAACTCCATTCTCTCCCATTGAATTCCAATAGTATTCGGAAATGAATATTTCATTAACTTCCTCTGTTTTTTGTGGCATATCATCTTCAAAGAAATTGACGTTTTCAGTAACAGATTCTTTGTCATAAGGTGTTGGTGATATATTTCTATTGATAACATTCTCTTCCTTTCCAACGACTGTTTCTTCCTGGGTTCCAGAAGGAAATATTCCAAAATCTGTAAAAAAACAACAAGTTTATACCATAAATTACATACCATATATTATTTTGGAATCAAAACACGTGCAACACTGAAATCCAATCTATTGTTCAAAATTAATAACAACCAGGTTCGTTTAGCATTAATCCAAAATGATTACAAATATAAGTGATTAATCCATTCATTATACTGGAATAAAACTATGAAATGAACTACTGAAAACAATTATTTGTTGCTATAATTTTCAAATTATTTATTTACTGGAGAAAGTTTTGTAATCATTAATGATATTCACGATTTACATTTTCTTAGTTTTATGATGTCTCACACCAGGAGATGTTTTCAAGTATTTCAATTTACCCACTAAATACAATAGTCATACTTTTACTGATAGATATTTTACCTGAGCCCAAGTGGAGTGGTTTTACATCCAGAGTCTTAACTTCGCTTTGCATTGCAATGGACTCATTCAGGCCTTGACAGACAGGGCAGTATTTTAAACTATGAGGGCTAAAAAAATCAATTTGACTAAGCAAACTTCTTCCACACAGCTCACAATGTGAGTCTTCCTTTAGTTTTTCCTCACACTTTTCAGATTTCAGATGATAAACAGCATCTTCACTTTTGATTTGTTCTGATTCTAATTTAATCTTTAAGATAGTCAGTTCATTATGCTGTGCATCATATTTTTCTTCAGAGTAGTTGATATTGTTTTCATCACCAACAGATTCCACCTCCTCTTTAATTAGTCTTTCATATTCAACAGTAGCCATTTTCAAAAGATTAAAAATGTGGGCTACCTTTCAAAGATCTCCAACACCAAAGATCTATACCAGCTTTCCTTTGTCTCTTTATACCAAAGAGTCCACCAACAACCCTTTATACACTGTCACAGATTAAAATTTAATTTGTGACACTGGTAGATGCTGTCAAGCGCTTTTGGTTCAGAAATTATGTTTAGACTATAGCACCGTATAGAAGTCTATAAATGTTTTCTGACGTTTAATCATACTCGAGCGTGTGTACAAAAACGATTCGTAGTGACTGGTGACGTCGTTAATAATAAGATTCGCCAGAATCTTATTATGGAATGATTCAATTTGTGTCAAATGTCAAATTCAATAATGAATACAAAATTTTCAATTTTCTCTAACGTCAAGTAGAATCAGATTTGTGCATACAATAATTTTCCAGCTTGAAAACTTTATAAACTATAACAATCAAAATAAAGCAGAAACAGACAACTGACGTAACGTAACGTCAAATTCCGTTTCAAAACCAATCGCACGCTAGTTTTGAATCATTCATAAATACGTTTCAAATCATAGTTGATGAACGTCATCTTTTCAACGCCAGAATGAATGTATTCGAATCACAGACGAATATACTTTTTTACTACATGAGCGCCAGAAAACGCCTTATTATTGTAGACCAAAGGAAGTTCTGACATATGATGGTGCCAAAAGTCTATATTTCTATTTATTTCAGCCATCAAATTTTTCTTTATGAATTATGTTGCCATGTTGTTATGTTGTTCTTAAAAACAAATAAATAAATGCATCAGTCTCTTATTCGCTATATGGAAACTTTATTGAGTACTGAGTGAAATGAACCAATGTTTTTTTTGTGAGGGTGTTCCAAAAGTGATATTTCGTGTATAACGTTCTAAGGTGATGACAATTTGTAAGGTATTAAAAAAACAACATATAAACCATGAAGAAACTGATAATAAACCTAAAAAGATATGCGTTTCAATATTAATGAAAGGGCAATTTAAGCTTGTAAATCAAAATATAAGAACAAAAATAACGTTTAATTTCTCAAAAGCTGAGAAGTAATTCCATTCTCATTATCGGCCAATCTCATTCTAGAATTTATATCGAATCATTCCTGGTGAAAGATATTCAGCGTCTCTGTTTGACATATTTTGATCGAGAAGAAAGAGCGAATAACATCACTACAGATTCTCTGACCCCAGGCTCCATAGACTGAAGTACATATAAATTTATAGAAGAGACACTCTTTCAAAGATGGTTCGACATAAAAACAGGTTTGTAATTATTCAGTACACTTTTTGGAGACATATTCATATAGAATGTTTTTGTAGGTACTTGGTACTGGAAATAAATGAAATTGGCAAGACAGACACCCCTCTGAAAATAAAAGAAGTGTCACTTTTTGAGTCAATACAAAACGAAGTGAAGAAATTGCATGGCGACTTTGGAGTAGCAGCTATAAGGACTGGATTTCTCTCGAAATACATCAATGAACATTCAAGAACAGCAGTCATCAGGTGTAGGCACGGTCCTCACAAATTTGTGTCTAGTTCCATACCTTTTGTCAAACAAATATTCAACAAGAATGTTGTGATAAGTATTCTTTATATCGGTGCCTCCATTAAACAATGCTTTTCATTTCTCAAAAATTACCAGCAGAAAAAGTTCGACGAGTACTGTGTTACACTAAAAACTGAAGAAGAAAGAAACGAGCTGAAAGATGCTATGCTGAATTTGGATAGTGCTTTATCAAAACTGTAATACAGCAACTCCATGAGTTGTGTTTAGGTGGAATTTGAAAATATGACATCTGAGTGATATTTGTGAGTCATGAACGTTATTTTGATAGAAGAAATAGCTGCCAGGATTTAACATGCTTTTTGAGACGATCTTTTTGATTCTCAACCACATACAGTTGTGATATCAGGTAATTTGAAATAGATACTGGTCAAGAGAAAAACTCACTTTTGTTTTATTTTTTTACCAAACTCTCATTGTGAAAGGTGTGAGAAGAAAAGTTGGTTGAGCTTTGAATTCACTGTGTTTGAAATATCGAAGAAGTATGCAGGCACATAATGAAATTGAAGAAAATAGTATTTTCCATTGAATTATTCTTTTTGAACGTATTAAGAAATGGAGGACAGCAATACACTGAATGTGCCCCAGTTTTATCAATTGAAAACAATAAAATTATAGCCCTTACATATTCACACGAAGTCTCGGAACATCTTGCAGCTCAAGTAATTAAATGAGTCCTCATAATCAACAGATGGTTGACTTCATATCTAATATACCATCAATAAAATAATTATTGAAATTTTGGCCCTTTTCAACATATTTTTCCACTTATAAATTTCAAATTAGTTGTTACATTAAATTGAAAGGGTTATATTTTTTGGGAAAGAAAGTTTTTGGCTTTCTGCTACTCGATTAACAAATACTTTTATTGAACACTGAATTATACAAAAAACATTTCTCTGCTCAGTGTGTATTCCAAACATTCATTATGGAATTAAATCGGATATCATTCACAGGTTTTCTACACAATATACTAAATGAGGGGTAAAAATTTTACTTACATGTAACACAGTCATCCTCACTGATAGACATATATTTCGCCGTAAGTCACTTGCCTTAGGGCTTTTGAGTACCAATTTCAGTAATATTCATTTGTAAAGCTGTACAAAATTTTCAGGATGAAATCTCTTTCTCAAAACTAATAAAATATGATATGGAACAATTTATTGAACTGTATTATCATCAAAACTAAATGTGTGTACCAAATATCAGATCAATCTGTTAACGGGAAGGGAGTCGAACTTCAATTACAAAACTTTGAATAATTTCGCAAAATTACCGATTTCAACTATGCTCAATAGTCGAGTATAATAATAATTTATTTTACATCAGACAATACAAAAATTGTAAAAGATTCATCATAATACTACATTAAAAATCAAAAGAAAATAGACTATATAAAAAAATAACTTCAGGTATACACATAACAACTTATACAGGTGCAATGACATTTTGTTTTTGTAAATATTCTTCAATGGAGTAGAAGCTTTCTTTCATTCAGTCTTCAAAAGGTGCACAAGATGCTATATTTTCACTACTGGAAAACCTGTACACAAAGACAGAGAATCTGCAGCGACCATGTTTTGTGATCTATTCAAGGCCTTCGACTGTGTAGACCACGTGCTACTTCTTCATAAGCTAGAAATTTACAAATTTAGAGGATATCCATTACTTTGGTTTGAGACGTACCTTTCCCATCGGCGGCAGATTGTTCTATTAGATGGAATTTTATCAGAGGGAGGTTTCATTGACTTTGAGGTCCCACAAGATTCCGGTTTGGGGCCGGTGTTGTTTCTCATTTATGCTAATGACTTAGTCCATGTTGACGTAAGTGGTAAATTCACATGTTTCGCTGACGACACCACTATCCTCTGGCATAGCAATACCATCTCAAATTTACCTGATCAAATCATCGTTGACATAAGAAGGGTGAAAATGTGGTGCGATTCCAATCTTCTATCATTCAACATCGACAAAACAAATGCGGTCACGTTTAGATGTGACATTGGGGGAGTACACTCTAAATGTAGAAATTGAAAGGTTGGAGAAAAACAAATTTTTAGGGCTCTACATTGATGAAAATCTAAAAGTTGATTCCCATGTTGACTACTTATGTAAAAGACTAGCAGCAGGATGCCATGCAATGAGAGTTGATGCAAGAGAGTTAGATACTGCTATTACAAAATCAGTTTATTTTGCACGAATTGAGCCCTATTTCCGTTATGGAATTTGTTTCTTTGGAAATTGTGCACAATTTCGTTTCAATATGGCATTCTCTCTACAAAAAAAGATCCATCATATATTTATGGAAGGCTAGCTACAGGGATTCATGTTGCCCTTTATTTGTGAAGCAAAAAATTCTGACAACATATGGTGAACGTCACTCTCACTTAATTTCCCCTCCTCATGATGTTTCAAATAATTTTTTTGACTGAATGATTTAGAGCAGATTTTACACTTGAATTGTTTTTCGCCAGTATGAATGTTTTCATGCCTTTTCAAGTCATGATTTCTAGTAAATGACTTAGAGCAGATTTTACACTGATGTGATTTGTCATCAGTATGAATCTTTTCATGATCCTTCAGATGGCTTTTATGAATGAAAGATTTAGAGCAGATTTCACACTGGAATGGTTTTTCACCAGTATGAATATTTTCATGACGTTTCAAATTAATTTTTTGACTGAATGATTTAGAGCAGATTTTACACTCGAATGGTTTTTCACCTGTATGAATTTTTTCATGCCTTTTCAAGTCATGCTTTCTAGTGAGTGACTTGGAGCAGATTTTACACTGATATGATTTTTCACATGTATGAATCTTTTCATGATCCTTCAGATGGCTTTTATGAATGAAAGATTTAGAGCAGATTTCACACTGAAATGGTTTTTCACCAGTATGAATTTTTTCATGAGTTTTCAAATTAATTTTCTGACTGAATGATTTAGAGCAGAATCTACAATGAAATGATTTTTCGCCAGTGTGAATCTTTTCATGACTCTTCAAATCATATTTCCGAAAGAATGATTTCGAGCAGATTTCACACTGAAATGGTTTTTCCCCAGTATGAAGTTTTTCATGTCTTTTCAATTCATAACTTCTACGGAATGATTTTGTGCATATTTTGCAAACATGTGGGATCTTTTTTGTTGGTCTATTTTCGGTATCATTTCTTCCATTTTTCTCAGGAACTCCATTCTCTTCAAATGAATTTGAATAGTATTCAGAACTAAATGTTTTATCAACTTCCTCTGTTTTTTGTGGCATTTTGTCTTCAAAGAAACTAACATTTTCAGTAACAAATTCTTTGTCATAAGATGTTGGTGACATATTTTTATTGATAACTTTCTCTTCTTTCCCAACGACTGTTTTTTCCTGGGTTCCAGAAAGGAACATTCCAAAATCTGTAAAAAAAAAACAAGTTTATCAGGATGAGTCACGTACCATGTATTATTTTTGAAGCAAAACATGTATAACTCAGAAATCCAATCTATTGTTCAAAATTAATGACAACTAGGTTCGTTTAGCATTAATCCAAAATGATTACGAATATAAGTGAATAATGCATTCATTATACTGGAATAAAATTATAAAATGAACAACTGAAAACAATTATTTGTTGCTATAATTTTCAAATTATTCATTTACTGAAGAAAGTTTTGTACTCATTAATGATTTATATTTACTCAGTTTTGAGATGTCTCAAGCCAGGAAGTTTTTTCAAGTAGGTATTTCAATTTTCCCACTAAATACCAGATTGTTTATGTTTTTCATATGCGCATTCCATTTAAGATGACTTTCAAGAATTACACTCAAATGTTTGACTGTGTTGAAGAATTACAATTGTGCCACATCATTTCCCACAGGAACATCAATGACAGGTTGGTAGGTCGGTTTCGGTAAATGGTACATAAGTAGTTTTTTCGGATTTAATGTAGATAAATTGCTATCAAAATATTCAATAGTGATGGGAAATGTGCCAATGACTTTTTGTTTCAGGGTGTTCCAGTTTTCATCTTTGAAAAAAATCACGGGTCATCATCGAGACCTGTGACTTTCACAGGAGTTTACGTAAAGGATAAACTGAACAGGTCCCAAAACGGTTTCTAATGGAACTCTGTAGCTGACTGTTCTGCTACTGATTTCACCTTCGATTCTGACACACTGTTTTCTGCCACTTATCATCATCAAGTCATTCACCGTTCACATTAAATAAACAACTGATAGGTGTAAAAAGGTGTTTCAGAGGATATTAATAATTTGAAACTCTTCTTTCAATGTATTATCTGAATGTACCTCACTTTCCTTTCATTATCCAAGATATGACCTATTAAATATTATTCATTTTAATAAAAACCACNCATATGTGAACAAAAGGTATGTATAATTTCTGAAAAAATAATAAGTATTTCTGTTCTCACAATTGGTCAATCTCATTCTAGAATCTAGAACGAGTCATTCCCGGTAAAACTGCAGGTTTTCTGACCCCAGGCTCCATAGACTGAGGCACAGAATACTTTAGAGAAGATGAACTTATCTGGCGGAACTTTGATGTTGAGGGAAGAAGTGTCTGTGTTAAATATCATTTTTAGCGGTAAATAACAATTATTCGAAACTATGTACAATGTATTTGTAGTCGAGATATTATTACGATGTTATCTAGGCAGATTGTTAGGCCAACATTTCAACCAAACTAACTTCATTGACANGGCGTAAACGGCGTTGATCTCTGCTAATCAAGTTAGCCATAAATCCCTCATTTTACCCCAAACTTTTGCAGGTATGAGTAGATGCACCAGGGTTTTCAGACATCTTAGTCTGAACACAGAATTATATTTTGGAATTTGTGGTTTGCAGCTCTCGTAAAAGGAATGGATGTAGACGAAGCAAAGAGACCGAGTTGTCTTTTCGATATAAATTGAAAGGAACTATAACACATATTCTATGACAATACCGTCAATAGCATGAAGAGGGACTTTCGAAATTAAATATTGGAGACACTGCTCTAGCGTTTTTAATCTATATCATGTTGGTGTCATAGAATACTACAAAGCGAGAGTAAAGTAGGCACTTTTTATGTTGAAGGGGCAAATTTTAGTAGCCTTCAAATCATGTGTTGAGTGAAATCATTCTTGGCACACTGAGAAAAATCACTATGTTTATCATTCACAATAAAACTTGCAACACACAGAAAACTAATTCAAAACAACATCGGTACTTCAGGACGGTATGTATAAACGGTTGAATGTTTTGATGAATATTAAAGAGGTTTCGGAAAATGTTTTACGTTTACAAAACAGAGACAAAAATAAATAAATAAATCAAATCAACGTCAGTCATGAGTTTTACATGAAAAATTATTCACACATTGAAATATTCATGAGTTGTATATGGTTGTAAATTGAACAGAAAAAGCTTCTAACAGGTTTTTTTAAATTCGTTATAACTTTATTTACAAGTTTTGATCACAATATTCCTAAAATCCCATAATATCAACAAACAATATTTTCAATTGATTTATTCACTAAACTTTAAACAATAATAATAATAATAATAATGTAGGAGTACATCAATAAACAAAACAACATACATATAACCTAAACTATATTTAAAATCTAAAATGATATAACAATGCTACAACACTAATAATAGATGATCACAGACGAACTATTGAGACTTGTTACAAATATTCAATTGAAAATTTTTAATGATGCAACTAATTTTCCTTCATTTTCAGAATTTTGATATTAAATTTCACAAAAAGGATTTGAAGCTTTATATCTTCTATTAATTATCTGCGAGCGCTTTCGACAGCTGGTCGTACTGTCATCTTCGAGGCACTCCTCAAACTGTTTGCCCATTTCTCAGATCTGAAATAATTAATGCTCCAGCAAGAAATTCTTCGAAAATACTAGACTCAAAATGACAATCAAAACCGAATACGAAATCTTACTTCAGACACACAGTTTCAAAAATGCAAAGAACAATGCTTCTTTCACAGTACCATTCAGTTTCACTGAATCTCAAGATAATCTGTGGTTCAGATCCAAAGGCATTTCACTTGATACATACCTCACTGGGTCTTTTGGAAAGGAAAACTAATTATTTCTTGGTTATATCTCAAATAGCTCCGATATTCTGTGTTGGTGTTAAGAAATGGACACACCAAAAAAGGAAGGGCTTTCGCCCATTTCTCAGATCTGAAATAATTAATGCTTCAGCAAGAAATTCTTCGAAAATACTAGACGCAAAATGACAATCAAAACCAAATACGAAATCTTACTTCAGACACACAGTTTCAAAAATGCAAAGAACTATGCTTCTTTCACAGTACCATTCAGTTTCACTGACTCTCAAGATAATCTGTGGTTCAGAACCAAAGGCATTTCTTTTGATACATACCTCACTGGGTCTTTTGGAAAGGAAAATTAATTATTTCTTGGTTATACCTCAAATAGTTCCGATATTCTGTGTTGGTGTTAAGAAATGGACACACCAAGAAAGGAAGGAAAGAAGAAATATATGATAAATAAAATACCTACCTATTTTATTAGTATCACACTGTTATTATGTTCTATATATATTTTAAGTTATTGACATACCATATGTACATACTGTACCTCAGTGGCAAATAAATAAATAAAATAAATAAACGTTTCAACTTAGAATTCGGCTTTGTTTCATTTCTATTTCAAAATTTTTGTTGGTTGTGATAATTTATTTTTTTGTCCATTCATTTTTACTTCTCATAGATTACAAATATGTCAATATCTTTTTAGATAATAGAAATCTGATCGTGTTACACAATTCTTTTGTGAATAAGAATCTTTCAATTGTAATTTTTTTCATCATATAAGAACAAATATAACGGAATAGTCATACTCTCCACACCAATAAGTTTTTTTTATGATATATCATAATTAACAATTGAAAAAATGTATTAAAAAAATATATTCATAACTTTCCAACTATAATACATTATACATCACGTCAAGTTCACAAACCTCAAAATATATAAAAGTATATATGAATTCATTCAAGAATAGTTGCTTCTCAAAAAGCTTAAATCCTCATTTAAAAAACAAATCAAATTTTCAATACCATTTTTTTACAAAGTATTCAAAATTCACAGAACAATAAACAAATCTCAGTGAAAGTACATTAGAATCTATATAATGCATCAAATTTAAATGTTACTGGTGGACATATTTCATAATTGAATAGATATCAAAAACAAGGCCAGAGAATCCAAATCACATCAAAGTGTAAAAGACTTTCTAGAAATGATCTAAATTAACAAAAATCCGGAAAGTATGAACAAGAAAACAGATACACCCAATATATACTCTGGATCTGACTTTGATACTATCTAAGATGAAGAGTAATCAATGATTTAAATATAACTGACCTGTGGTTACAAGGTCAATAATTAATATTAAATCTTTTTGAGAATGCCTTACATATTTATAACTCAGAAAAAAGTGTGAAGATGATGTAACATTTGAAACTAATGAATAGAAACTATATAAAATTTCTATGACTTTACATTGATAAACATTTCAAATGGAATAAACATTCGAAGTACATGGAAAAAAGTTACAAATTATTGGCATTTTTATATATATTTAATTTCTATATAGAAATCTGCAAACACCACAATTCTGGAATGAAAAGAAAAATAAAAATTTTAATGTTTTTTACCACTTTTGTTTGTAACTAACGTTATTGCAGTTTCGTCCTATATGGGCATTTTCAAACTTAAACAATAAACTAAGAATGATTCATTACATTCGCTAATATATAACATTCAGGTACTCGATTGAGTACCTGAATTTACAGTTCACAATGCGCATGTGCCAATTTAAAAACCGGAGAGTAAATTAAATCGATTTGGTCATTTAACAGGTTGCACCCTCAATGTTTATGCTTGTGAATTTCCAAGGATTCTAAATAATTGAGTTTGCAACCCTTCTTTGCATAGTGCAGAATTTCCGTATCGTTTAGATTCGGAAACTTGTGGTTGCATGCCAAGGAATGGTTTGAAAAAGTCGAATAATTTTTTCCTGGTCTGGAAGCCGTAAGAAAACGTCAAAAATAAATATATAAGATGTACAACACGAAGTACTCCAGAAAATAAATGAGAAATACTAATTTTTTTATTAGTCAGTCGGCTATGCTTGAAGACAGGCAGTAAACAAAATAATAAGAAAGTTTTTCTTCCTTATTCAGAGGAATCGGGCAAATTTCGGATATGCAGTTACTTAGTACCTCGTCCACTAGATGGAGTGACATTTTTGATGTTCACTCCAACTTAAGACGAGGAGTGAAATACTCTGAAAGAATCTCGATTTTCAATTATGGAATATCGTTGACTTTAGGTCGATGATGGTCACTATCTTGCACTGACAAGTGGCTAAGGAGCCTGAAACCTGTCTGCAAGTGTGCCCGTTCCAAAATTGAGGATCGACTCTTTCAGTTATATTGCCAACTGCATATGCAGGAAATTTTCTGTGAAGATTCCTGCACTGACGCTTGTCGGATATAATCCAATGCCGTTCATGGTATTACCCTGTGGAGTAGTTGTTTTCTGATAGGCGTCAGTCCATTCAACCTACTGTGTAGGTGTATCCAAGACGGGCTTGAACGTTAAAGGTTCATTTCGTTAGAAATACTAATTTTCACTTTTGTCAAATTTCCAGACATATTTGAAATGAATAAAAAAAACATCTCATTAAACTTATGAGTAGAATGAGTCCCAATGAAGTATTTTTATGAACGTGGAGATTGCTGATCAGGATATTCTTTCTATTCATAAGTCATTCCTGCTTTCAAACCTGATGCCCATTACATGCAGTCAAAATAAAGACACCCTACTGCACAGCATGAACGGGATCTTTTTGACATTTCTGATACAATAATTGTATGAAAAATTTCAAGATTTTCTTGAATAATTTAAAAAAAAAACAATGATGAATTCAATCATACAATTTCAGGATATACAATCTATTTTACATCTGATAAATGACATAATAACCTAACACCTATCCATACTATAATAACTGGTACGAACTAACTTCTGGGGTAAAATGGCTCTCAACGTGACGTTGGAACTCTGTGAACTCTACATCTTTTATGAACTGCCTTGTGCAGATGGGACATATCATTTCAAATTCCATAGGCTGTGTTTGCTTTGAAGGAGTCCTTTCTTCGATGAGCAAGTTGGCTTCTATACATTTATCAACACCGAGTTTGATATCACTTGTCGAAGTGCTCTTATCATTTCTTAAGTTCTTTTTTGTATCACAGGACTTGCAGGAAAGGATTTCTAAAAAAACAGTTTCAATCTAATATTTGTTTTCTAAATAGTATAGCACAGTTCCTTAGTTTAGTTTTCAGATGGTTTGAAGGAATTTCATAAAATAACTAATGAAATTGTGAAACTCTTGTAGCTCGGTAGTTGAGAAAGTCTGTTTTTCTCTCACCGGAAAACTCAAAGAATCTAGTTTACAATTTTTGACTATTTTAATTTTATTGATGGGCATTAAATAGGTAACACTATCTCTCTTGAAACATGTAATCACAAGAAACTTTTATTTTTACTGTTACTTCTGAATTCAGTAGTAGTTTTAATCTAGTTTCAATATGAAAATGCCTTATGTCCCTACAACAAGCCCTACAATTACTTCTCTGTAATTGTTCTCTTCAAGTTTTAGAATGTATCTAACTCAACCTAACACCTTAATATATAAATTTTGTTCTGCTGAATGGTCAACATAATCATAAGAATTACCCAAACCACAAAATACTAACCTCTACTTTGAAGGTTATCTAAATACATTAGAGCTGTCTTTAATGTTTCCTTTTGCATCAACACTTCTCCCTTCAGCAGTTTCAAATCTTCAAGGATATACTTCAATTCTTCAAATAAATCTTCTTCCAACTGATCGTCAAAATAAAAACCAAAAGATTCAGTCACAACTGCTTCGTTGTACTGGACGTCTTCAATTTCTGAACACATTTTCTCGAGTTCCATTTTCTGCTTTGAGAAACTGTCTGAGAGTTTCAGCGATATGTTCTCCAATTCAAGACTGATTTTTTCATTGATGTCCAAGTTCTTTGGAGATAGTTTCATTTGAGGATCCATCTGGGTAAACGTTTTTGACCTTATTAAATTAGTATGTGTAGGAGCTAAATGTTGATTTACAGTCTGATTTATCTTGCCAAGCTGTTCTCTAAGGTTTTTATTGAGATTCATCAGTTTACCTAATTTATTCCATAAGTCTTGATTCTCTCCAGACACCATTTTGACCTTTTCTTGAAGCTGGTCTCTATTTTCAGATACTTCAGTAATTTGAACCCTTAATTTATCCATTTCTGATAGAGAATGCTGTTCTGCTTCTTCGCTTCGAGTACATTTCATGCGGAGGTCTACATTTTCTTCTTCCAGGAGAGTAATTCGCTGCTGCAAACTTTTGCACCTATCTCTGAGAGTGTGAACTGCTATTTGTATTGCATACTGGGCACCTAGTGATTCTTCCATTTGGAATTCGTATACTTATTATTAAATAGTTCTTTATATTATCAGGATTCAACCAATACCATCATTCATTGTCTTGCATTTACATAAACAAAGCTTTTCTGTAAGTTATTGTTAAATAGTTCTGACAGAACTTCTGTCTGAAAAGCATCTGACACAATTCTACCTTGTATGTGACAGTGTTGCCAACCAATTGTAGGCGTAAGTCACTGAACGGTGCTATGCACGTCAAAAAAACCACGGAAACAAACATTCCACTATGGTATATCAGAAACGCACATGCGCAACGCAGAACTTTCTTATGATATATGCTAACAGAGTGAAATTGACGTACGTATGTATGTATTTCGATTTCTGTAATGCTCTCTAAGACATCGTTGCCAATGGAAAATTATAAAATTTCTTAATTTCGGAATTAAATTATCCAACACAATTCGAAATTCCTCTAACCATTCTCCAAACATGAAGGGCACAGTATTTCTGTATACTGTATACAAAATACTGTGTGAAGGGTATCAATTACATGGTTTTGGGACGGAAGGTAACATTGGATGTCAACGCCACGACACGTAGCTAAGAAAAAAGATGACGCTCTAGTATATGGATTTGAAGAGAATCAAAGAATTGATTTTTCATTCTCCACCACAGAGGTTATTACCATTTGATGCTAATCACGGAAATATGTATCAACAAATTCGTTCAGTCAAAGATGAAATTATTGAAATTGAAATATTATCTTTTTCATATACGATATTGTGTAACAATCTTGTGAATATGTGAATCAATTCCATAACGAATATTTGAAGTACAAACTGAATGAAAAATATTTTTTTGTAGAATTCAATGTTCATATGAATGTAGTTATTTCGAAAGTTTGTTTTTTCATGTAATTTAATGTTTATATGATAGTAATTCGCATGATCTTTGTAAAAAGTTCATTTTGTTTTCCCCTTCTTTGGAGGATTTCCAATTTTTTTTGATAAAGATGGAGAAGTAGATAGCCAAACCTCCAAAAATTATTCTCTCCTGAAAATATACCCCTTTCAAATTATGCAAAAATCTTGTAGTTGACAAATACAGAAAATTACCTAGGATAGTATATTCAGAACCATTAATAACCACAAATATCAATAATATATGTTCTGTAGTGAAACATTTAGAAATATTTCAAATCACATGATATAGACAAAAGTGTTTACTTGTTCAACGGATCGCAAAGGTAAACGTTCCTTTGAGGTATGGGACCTTTCCATACCTTTGTGGAAAATACCAATTCTTTTTTCCATGAGAAAACGAACTTAGGTCATATGAAAGTAATTTTGAGAATCGAGTCCTTGGCGACACTTTGATATAGTATGACTTATATTCTGTGTTTCAGGTGTTTAACGTCAATTTTCGGATCAATCGGATCAGATATATAATTTGATAGGGGTCGAAGAATTATTACGTCATCTTTGTAAACGAGTCCAACATTTTGATCAAACTAACTCCATTTCACTATGTTTACGTTTACTAATAACTCGACAAAAATTTAACTTGGTAAAAATTTTGTGGTTCCTGTTCCGTGCAGAGTGTTTCATTTGTAAGCTGTTCTGTGTACTAGACAGATGTCGCTGATTCACAATTTCCTTTTCAGTCGGCAAAGAAACTTCCTGAATTCCGTCTTTTGAAACATGGTGGTTTCATGTGCACGTTGACGAGAATTTTGTTCTTTAGTCGTGTGTAATATCAAAGTAGAAATTGTTATTTTCTAAAAACTAAATCAAGTGAATAACCATGAAGTTGAACGTGTCTTACCCAGCAACTGGGTGCCAAAAATTGGTGGAGGTCGTGGATGAACACAAGATCCGTATTTTCTACGAGAAACGCATGGGCCAGGAGGTGGAAGCTGATCTGCTTGGAGACGAATGGAAAGGTTACGTTCTGAAGATCTCAGGAGGAAACGACAAGCAAGGTTTTCCTATGAAGCAGGGTGTTCTCACTAACGGCAGGGTACGTCTTTTACTTTCTAAAGGTCATTCTTGCTATAGACCCAGACGTACCGGCGAAAGAAAACGAAAATCTGTCCGTGGGTGCATAGTTGACGGTAACCTCAGCGTCTTGGCTTTAGTAGTTGTTCGTAAAGGTGAACAGGAAATCCCTGGCCTAACGGACACCACCATTCCCCGTCGCTTGGGACCCAAGAGAGCATCTCGCATCAGGAAATTGTTTAACCTGAGTAAAGAGGATGATGTGCGCCAGTATGTTGTCAAACGTCCTCTGGAACCTAAAGAAGGCAAGACCAAGGTCCGTACCAAGGCTCCAAAAATCCAACGTTTGATTACTCCAGTCGTTCTGCAAAGAAAACGTCACCGTTTGGCTCTCAAGAAGAAACGTTGTCTTAAACGCAAAGAACAAGAAGATGCATACGCCAAATTGCTAGCTCAACGCAAGAAGGAATCGAAGGCCCGTAGGGAAATCGCCAAGAGGCGCAGGTCCAGTATGAGAGATAGTAAATCCAGCACTCACAGTGGGCAGAAGTAGATTCAAATTTTTTATTTTATGTAAGACAATGTGAGAAATAAACGTTGTTGCTGAGCTTCTGTCTCTACTTTTACTCAACATTAACATCATTTTGTAGTATTTATTAATACCATTCAATTGAACATATTTTTTGGGAAAAATATGTTCGAAACTTCTGGAAAACTCATATAGATACATAAATTAATTTACTAACTGCAATACCCTCTGCTTTCATTTTGTTTTTCAGTAGGTATTCCATTGTTTCTATTTCAGCATCCGTTCTTGAGGTGTTTCTAGTCTTGAAAGTAAGTAGTAATTTTTATTGGAAATGTACATTCATGAGTATTATCTCATATATACTTACCTATAATACCTATGAGTATGTTTAAATTAATGAGAACCATGAGTTCTTAAGACATGAGACATGTCCTAAGACTGGTGCATGAATCTCCCTTTTTTTTTCTCATTTTATCATCCAAAATGTTTCTGAAGAAAAATCGACTTCTTGAAAAGTACATTGAAATTATTTCAAGGAAATTTTGAAAGTAGGAACACATTTTTAGATTTTTTTTGAAGATTACTAAATTCAGAAACCAGAAATATAGATGTAAACAAGAGAAACAATGTAAATTATAGGGTCAGTTATTCTAAATACAACTGTTAATTGAGTGGATCAATTCTGTTTAGATATGAATTTGTAAGACTTTAAACTCCTACATTAAATTATATATGGTGGTAAATAACTGAAATGAAATAATTTGAATGAAAGACAACTATATTCTTGCCAATAAGTACATTTAATATTGTAATGAAGCAAAACATTTTCAACAGTCAATAAAAACTTACCCTGATTTACTCAAGAAACTACAATTATACAAATAATATTCATATATAACATCGAAGGGAGCTACTTCAGAATTGGTTTAAGTAATAACGAAAACAAACAAATATGATAATACTAGACCGTAGGTTCTGGTAAATACTTTCCAGAAAACAACTACTTCCCCGGCTAATACCACGCTGTATATTGACTTATATCCGACTGAGAATTATGCAAGATACCTTACAGATTACATACCTTACATAAAAATGAGAGAAAAGAAAGGGAGAGGTAATATGAAAAAGGAAAGAACCGGGAGAAGGTTGGGATTTCCCAAACCCATCACGTTTAGCCCGCTTTTTAATCTTCTGTTAGGAAGAGAATAATTACTAAGAACTTGCAGGTAGTTAATTACTGAGAAATTCCATATTGGACTTCAGGTATACAACCTCAGGTAACAAATTTTAGTATATAAGGATTAACCAGACTAGACTAGGTATCAATTTTCTTCTCCTGAGGATGCTAACTTTGTTGGCGAAACGCGCGTCGAGTGCAAAAATATCAGTTTGGTGTTAGGGCAATTGATCTCGAAAAAAGTTATTCAAAATTGATACTACTCAATTTCCCTACCAGATTTTCGATATGGGTTCTCCTTGTCAGTTTCTCATAATTGTTACACCCATAAATTTTATGTTTGATACTTGCTCAATTGACTTATGATTTATTTTAACAAGAGGGCTTGCGTCACAGCTGATATTTTTTCGTCGAAGTATGTTTTGGAAGCATTTAGAATCAATCCATTATTCAGGCACCATTGAAAGAATTCCTCAGCGCATACATCAATCAGATGAATGCTTTTGTCCAGATTATCTTGTGATATCATATGATTTGTATCGTCGATATAAATTATGTTTTTTTGTGGGGAACCACATGATACAATCATGTCATTAATGAATATGATAAAAAGCAGTGGACCAAGTATTGAGCCTTGTGGTAAACCCATAGAAACATTGGTCGACTTTGATTTGAATGAATTCATCATGACAATCTGACTTCCATTTTGTAAATAGGAAGAAACCCATCTATTCGCTACTTCACGAACTCCAATATGGTTTAATTTTAAAAATAGAAGCTCATGATTTACAGTATCGAATGCTCTACTGAGATCAAAATATAGTGCAATAGGATATTCCTTAGTGTTTAGGCTAGAATAAATCATATTACATAATTCGTTCGTAGCTGATTCTGTAGATTTTCCAGTCTAAAATCCATGTTGGCATCCTTTCAATAATTTATTATTTTCCAAGAAATTTATTAGACAAAAATTGAAGCAATAAATTAGTTCCACTAATATTTCCAGAGCTTGCTGGAATATAATAAACAGTGAAAGGAACCCTATTAATGCAATTAAACCAGTAGAGCTATCAGCACAATGCTTGAATGACTTTTTCTGCAGTATAGCTGATAATACTATTAAAACTCTTCCCGATCTCTCGATCAATGAAATCAATAACTACAAAAACTTTTCCTCGCCATGCGCATCTCTTTTTCTGGACCCTGTCTGTCCTCAAGAAGTATATGATATGATAAAGTCTCTTAAAAACAGAAACTGTCGCGATACACACGACCTAAATAACCAAATGATTAAATCGGTGGCTGATTAATCGCAGCTCCACTAACATTACTTATAAACGAAATATTTTCAACTGGAATATTTCCGGACGTTTTTAAAATTTCGAGAGTAATACCCTTATTCAAAAAAGGTTCCAGATCTTCACCGGATAATTATCGCCCAATTAGCATAATATCTATATTTGGGAAAGTAATTGAGATAATTTTGAAAAATCGTTTTTATTCCTATTTTGAAAAACGGTTTCACCTCAACAATTCACAATATGGTTTTCGAAGAAATAGGTCAACTACCCAAGCGGCTTTCAAACTAGTGTCGAACATAGTCGAAGGTCTTGATCAAGGAAAGCACTCTTCTTTGACATTATGTGACCTGACTAAGGCATTTGATTGTGTATCGCATAGTATTTTGATTGACAAAATGAGCTACTATGGTGTCCGGGACACAGCTCTCAAGCTCGTCCAATCTTATCTAACAAATCGGTGCCAATTTGTTGAATTGAACAACGTAAAGTCAGACTTCAAAGAAATGAAGCATGGTGTTCCTCAGGGATCCGTTTTAGGTCGACTATTGTTCTTGATCTAATGACCTATGCAGTCTCATGAAACTAGGATGTTGTATCTTGTTTGCAGATGATACAACTTCATTGTGCTCTAGTGTAGACTTAACTAGCTTACAACTTATGATAGAAGATAGCAAAACATTAGCTTACAATTGGTTTGCTGCTAACAAATTCACCTTGAATGAAACTCAAAATATAATCTTATCTTCCAATCGCAATATTTCCCAATCTAAAAGTGTTAAGTTTTTAGGATTCACTATCGATGATAGATTGAGCTGGTCTGATCATATCAAAGCTATGCTCAGCAAAATTTCTACTGTTTTGTTCGTTTTGAGGCGACTGAACGATGTGGTCAACTTGATGACGCATTTGGGGTCATTCAAGTAACTCGATAAGTGTGTTTAGGTGCCAGAAAAAGGCCAAAAGAGTTCTAGCTAAAGCAGGTTACAAAGATCATTGTCGTCCTCTTTTTATTCAACTCGGCATTATGCCACTTCCAACACTGTATGTTTATCAAGTGTTACTGGAGATCCATGAAAATGTTAACAAATTTGAAAGACATGGTGAAAATCATACATATGAAACGAGGTCCGCAAGTTTATTGAACCTGCCTAGACATAATCTGACTATCAGTCAAAGAAATTCACTGAACTTAAATCTTTATAATCATCTTCATTCATCTGTGATGTCACTCAACCTTACTAAATTTAAATTTATTATCAAAAGCTTTCTCCTCCAACACTGTTTCTATAATATAGAGGAATACATTGAAATGGTGGGATCTTTAACTTACGAAAAACCTCATTATATCAACTTACCTAGATTTTAACTTAAGCGACATATTTAAAAGATTTCATAGTTACGATTTTATGTATACTTATATTCTTTACTTATATTTCATAGTAGATGAATTTTATCTTTGATCAAGGATTTCTGTATTTGTGACTTGCCATAAATGTACAACCGTTTGTAAAATGGTCGAATAAAGTACTCTACTCTAATCTATTTTTGCTAGTTGACTTTGTATGCATACATTCCTGTAGTTGTTGATGTCTCCCTCTGAACCTTTCCTCTTATACACTGAAGGGTTTCACCTGAAATTGGTCTGAAATTAGTTGTAGATCACTCCTAATGACATGACAAAAACAGATGGGCTTACTGGGAGGAAAAAACGAATTAGATTTTGAACCTTTATTTCAAATATACCTTTACAAAATCAGCGGATATATATTACTCTTTTATACAAAACAAGTGAAATAAATAAATTACAGAAATTGTGTTAAATATTCAAAAAGTGACAAACTATACAATCTAACTAGCTAAAAATCTATGTATAGTACCTACTATGGCAAGTATTTCGTAGAAAAAATATTGAAATCAAATACCAACTTTGAAAAACGTTTCAACAAGCTACGATGTGGAATATTTCAGGGTGCTTGCAATTATTATGGAACACTCTCAGGAGTGAAAAATCTCACAATAAAGTGTTTTTTGAAAACGATATGAATTTTCATCAAGTATCGCCCGATACCACGTATCATTCAACAAACAACTTGAAATGCAAATGAAACTCATATATTCCACAATAATAAACACAACCCTAGTATTGATATATCATTCCCTACAACCCTAGTGTTTGATTAGACAGTCTTGAAGTTGAATTAGATAAGTTAAAATTCATTGATTAAGTGGTGTATCACACTAAGTTTTGGTAACTTTCATAAAAATTTCAATTTCTCGTCAACACTTGTAATCTATGATTCTATGACTAAAATGAAACCTAAATAAATGTGAGACGAAAGTTAGTTTGTGAAAAGTATGAGATGAAATCTAGTTATCATTGTTAAATTCGATGTAATTTCTAAGTTTTTTCCTGACCACATCAACCTAAAACAGAGCTCTCCCTTGGAAACACATCAAAGCCCCTCTCAAACATTGGTCGGGGGTTCCATCCCGCAAATAACTGCTTTCATCACACTTGCCGCTGCCAACGCGGCATATGGCTGCCACTCCTTGCGTCTCGTGCCATCCTTGTAGTCTGATATGCCTCTGATGCAAATGAAGCTGTCCTTGCAGTTGCCGAGAATGGATTCGATTACGGAATCGAACTCACAGTCGAATGCTAGAGCGCCTACGTGGTTAGCAAACTGTTGTCTGAGTCGGTCTTCTTTGACGATTTGTCTGCCGGATGCTATAGGGGATAGGTGGATTCGTGGGCAACCCTCTAACCTAAAAATTTCAATAGATTAATTGAACTTGTTGACAAGTGGTACTAGGAAATGGATGTAAAGTATTCCAGAAGGAAAGCTAGAATGAAAAAAAAATTATTATCAAAAATTGATAATAATGGATGACGAAAATCAAGTAGTTTTCATATAAGAGCTCTAAAACAACGCATTTTAAACTTATCATTTCAACATTTTTCTTTAAAAAATTATTAAAATACTTTAAAAAAAAGAGGAATGAAATAAGGCATTCAACATTTATGGTATTGAACTATAATTTATATTTTGCCTTAATTGTTAATTTATAAAGATAATTTTCCTTTTTCAAAGTAGAATATCTAGGTACGCATAAATTATTTCAACTTGATATAGGCGCTGTTGCCAATATGTGCCAATAAAAATTAAAACCCAACATTTGAAACATCAATTTGAATACTTTTCGAAGTGAATTTGAAAAACTCATGAAGTAAACTCAACTTGCATTTGCTGTAATAACCCAAATTGAGGAACATTCCCCACTTCATCGTGAAATTTTTACCAAATATCTTACAAAACCGCAACACATATTTCACTACACAATAGCTTCAGATATATTCAATACTACCTAGATTATACCTATTTGATACTTTTCTCTTCCAAATGTAGCAAGCACATCATGATTGTGATTGAACTCTTATCACTTTAGCAAAAGATCGTTTACCAACATGGAATCGGTTTTCATATTGATAAACTACTTCTATGCTACTATATTCTTCTGGAAACGGTTCTCAAAGTTTGACCAATATAAGATTTGGGACAAAAACAACAAGTCAATTTATCTACTCCTGATTTCCACAACATATTAATTGTAATTATCTTTAAAACATGAAACAGAAATAAATACAAGCACACAAAATTTGTGATTGTGAAAAAATTACAGACATGACAGTGATGGTGAAAAAAATATGTAATTACTATAAATACTGAGTGAGGGTGAACGAATTACCGTGTGGTAGTGTGTTTCCAATCAACAGTTTTGGACTTTGAAGAAAAAAAAACATGAAAACTGTGAGATTCACAATTTCACTTTACAGTGAAAAACTCAAGAAAAAAGATTCAAAATAAACGCTATAAAGCTATTTCTACCAACTACGAATCCGTCACACCTCGTGTAGCTTTTCTTCAGAATTCTTTTAGGTGTTGAAGGTGTCTTAGGTCTCTGCGGTTTTCTGAAACTATTAACAAGTGGCCTCACAGTGTGATATCTTCGTATTTCCACTTTTTTCACAGACCTTTGAAAGAGGATTCAAAAATAATTCGGCAAAAAGATCAAACTAGATACCAAGCTTCAATTCATTATCAGAATTTCTAAGATGACAATACTTGATACATGAAAGTTTCAAGAGAAACATTTAATTTCACTCCATACATTATTTTACTTCACCTACCTTTTAACAGCATTGTCCTGGGGCACAGGATGTGCTACCTCGATCAAATCACGGTCTCCAATATTCATATACAGTTTATCAGTATCTGAACTCGGCGGTTTGAAATCGGGTTCGGTCTGGTTGCTCAGGATGTTCAATCCATCACGAAGATAGTTCATCCAAGGGGGTGTCATTTTGTTATCAGAATCAGAAGACGACTTTAGCTGCATAGCAATTTCCTGTAGATTCATATTTGAGGGTAAGTAGGCCTTCATTTCAAAGTCACAACCTTTGTCGGTCTGTTTTGCTGATTCACAGTAAACGTAGATATTCCTGTCAATAAAATAAATCGAATATAAACTCTGAATATAAAGTAGCATACTGATTATTGATTTCACAGGTATCCAGGCTACATTTGGGACACTGATGAACCCAAAAGTGACATCGAGAATAGTCTGGGAATGTCGTAAAGAACAAAAGAAACTAGAGGACAGGAATAGATTGATTTAGTGCCAGGACACTCAGGTATCACAGGCAAAGAAGGAGCTGATGAGTGTGCCAAAGCTACTAATTGGAAGGATACCTCAACAAAATAAAGCAACATACGGACATGAATAACTCATCATATTTTATATGAATGCGAGGCACAAGTAAAGTAAAAAAAAACATATGGCTAGTAGAATAACAAAGGGTAACGTAGATATTCCTGTCAATAAAATAAATCGAATATAAACTCTGAATATAAAGTAGCATACTGATTATTGATTTCACAGGTATCCAGGCTACATTTGGGACACCGATGAACCCAAAAGTGACATCGAGAATAGTCTGGGAATGTCGTAAAGAACAAAAGAAACTAGAGGACAGGAATAGATTGATTTAGTGCCAGGACACTCAGGTATCACAGGCAAAGAAGGAGCTGATGAGTGTGCCAAAGCTACTAATTGGAAGGATACCTCAACAAAATAAAGCAACATACGGACATGAATAACTCATCATATTTTATATGAATGCGAGGCACAAGTAAAGTAAAAAAAAACATATGGCTAGTAGAATAACAAAGGGAATTCCAGAACGGAAGTGACTTATCAGTGTTTGTGGTGACGTTATCGCTGTTTGAGAGATAACGATTCGAGTGCGTTTGGAATGATATGAGAACAATAATATTGGCTATACTTGTACAGAGTGTTGTTTCAAAACACAATAATCAAATACCATACATGGTGAGTGTAGCGTTAAGTACAAAACATGGCTGCCTGCGTTAAAAAAAAAAAACATGCTTGCCAGCGTAAGAGAAAAAAAACATCATTATTATTATAGCATTATTTTTATAGTTAGCAGACATGTTTTTTCCCAATGTTTGGCAACATTGGGGAAAAAAAGATAAGCAGAAAACGTGCAGAAATCTCTATAACTTTTTGGGAGAAATGGAATAATTGCTGTTTAGTTTATCAAATCCACTCCATTCGGTTACTGATGACTACTGTATAGATAGATAGATATTTATTTCAATACGGTATATAAAGGTACATTAGTAGCAAGTCGGTGGTACAGCATGTAGATGAACATCATAACGGAACATAAAACAGTAACAGTAAATTATAAAGAAAAAACATTATCAAATAAAATATACAGAAAAGTAATTGAATAAAATGTACATATAATATCACAAAGAAAGTATACACAATATATTCCTTCATACTATAAAAACTTTGTTTCATTAGGTAGTCCTTGACACGCTTTTTGAAACTTGGCAAGGGTAAACTTATGATACTAGATGGCAGAATATTATATAGATTGACATCGAGTGAGTTCTTAGAGGATTTTTGTAAACTGAACCGGTGAGGTCTCAAAAGATTAGCTCCACGAGTGTTATACCCATGAAATTGGGAGTTGGTTGAAAATTTATCTATGTTCTTATGTATTTCCAAAAGTGTCTGATATATGGTACCGTCATAATGCCTAGTCTTCTGAAAAATGGCCTGGATGAATCACGGAAACCTACGTTCAAAATAATTCTAATTGCATGCTTTTGAAGCGTAAAAACTTTTCTGACATTAGAGGAGTTACCCCGGAGTAGATATTATTTATTAATTATCAACTAACTTGTTCTTTGCAGGACAGGATATAACAACGTCTCCCAGTCTGACATGTCTATTATAGTCAGTGTAATGAGGAACTCCGCCTCCTACTCCAACCAGAAAAACGTAGTCAACTTTCTGGAATGTTCCTAACAGTCTTGTGGTCGTATTACCAGCCGCTGTCATGGCTTCCCGGGTGTGGCCGACCGAGGGCAGTTTGGTACATACTATACGATGAGCGCCAATGTTTCCTAGAGTGTAGACGTTGGACTCACCTAGAAATATAAAATATAAGAATAAGAAGAACAATCTGTGATTCAATAAAAATTCTACGTTATAAACCATGGACCCTTGTCCCAGATAAGCACATGAAATTGGAAGAATATTGCTCAAATTTTGTGAAAATGCATTTTTTACTTTCACCAGAAATATTATCGACTCCAAAACAACACTCAAAAGTTCTTATATTGGATACATATTTACATAATTTCCAATTGAAGAAATTATAAAGTTATACTTTTAACAACATTGAACTGATATTGTGCGTTTTCTAAATGATATTTTCAAACAGTATGCCTATAAAATTATTACATTTTGATAAGAAATCGGTATCTTTTGAGAACAGTTTTCCCTCACCAGAACAAAAATACTGTGGGAAAGATAGGTTTTGGCCTTCCATTTCTCCATCTTTATACAAAAATCTTGAGGAACTTCCAAAGAAAGGAAGAAAACAATTTAACTAAAAATAAACTCTTTACAAAGATGTGTAGATCATGTTTATATGAAAGTAGTTGTTTCGAGAGGGTTTCTTCTTCCAGTTTGTGTCTCAATAGAATTTTGGTAAGCCGGATTTGCATGAAACAAAATTGCTTCCAGTTCGCCAATTGTTTTTATGGGCAACATGAGAGGGTACGGCAATGGGAAACTCGATGTCTCTTTTCATGGCTAATCTGTTCTGAGTTGGATTACTTTCCACAAACCTCAAATCGGTTAAAGAAACAATTGCGGCAGTTGTATCGCCAACAGCATATGCAGGAATAACTTCACTAAAGAATCCTGCACTGACACCTGTCGGATATAATCCAACGCCCTTCGTGGTATTAGCCAGGGGAGTAGTTATTTTCTTATAGGTGTCGGTCCATTAACCTACAGTGTAGGGAGTTGAGACTGTCCTGAACGAATTGTTCCTTTAGATGATATGATATAAGAGTGACTTTCAAAACTGCATGTACACTTCAACAAGTGTCGGGCAGTTCGACAAGATATTGGAAAAAGAAATGCCTGGAATTTACGGAACAAGCTGCGAGAATTGTGATGGGAAGTGATAGGAAATATGTTGGTCAAACCAAACGGACTATGCTAGCTCGCTTCAAGGACATGTTTCATAGACCGGAGAAATCTAGTGTCGCTCAACATGCCATAGAGAGAACGACCACAGAATAAGTTAGAAATGTTCAAAATTGTTGAGACTGTACATAACAACAGGTTTCTGGATTGCCTCGAAAGCTTTGAAATCGAAAAGTGTGGAATTAGTTCTATGAATAGCGACAAAGGTCCTATTAGGAAAACCCCTTTGTTTGGTAAGAATTCTAAATAAAAATACAGATACATATTAGAGTAAAAATGTAGGGGATTGTCACTAACATAGAGGAAATACATAACAAATTAGAGGATGCTAACCTAGTTAGCGAAACGCGCATCGAAAGACCGTATTTTGTTCTGGTGTTAAACTGTTTTCAATAGATTCATTTTATACCAGAGGTTCCAGTACGAATTATCAAGTCTAGAAAATTCTAGTTGTCAGTTGCGAATCCATCCATTAGCTAGGTCTATAATTTCGGAACCGACTATACAACATAAAACGGACATAAAACCAACTTTTCTATATGATCTCAATAAATATGTTCGTTATATTTACAGTGTGAAAGCAGTTTGTATATACATGAAACATTCAGGTGATATAGTAACACTAGAGGTGAAAAAGTGAGGTTTCAGTGAAGGACACACATTGATCATTTATGTTTGGGGTGATGCTGATCCCGGGTTTCAAATCGCATCAAACTTTCGTGAGAAAAATGTCATTTTGACGCATTTTGATAATACAGTCAGACGCACATTTGCCTGAGTTCAATTTTTTTGAATTCCACAGAACTAAGTTCAAAATAAAGTTATTTATAGCCAGAAGTCTTTTGATTTTATAAGATCAATTGACACTCTTGATAGGTATACCACTGGGAAATGTACTGGGTGGTTTTTCTTCTATTTTTGAATGAACTTTCAAAATGTACATCTACAAAATTTCACCGTTCATCTGGATGACCACCATCTTTCTAGACAGATATAGATGTTACTTACTGTTATGCNGTGAAGAAAATATGAATTGAATGGGTTATATTTTTAGGAGTGATTAATTTTTGGAAAAGAAAGCTTTCTACTACTCCAAAAATGTGGATAATTATCGAATCACTATTAGAAAGAAATCGTAGCATGAGCATCGCTCAGAAATTGTTGAAATGACGTCGATGGCGATCCTGATTTACTTGAAAGGGTCATAACTGTTGAAGTCCAATCGCCCCAACGGAAGAGCCCAGGAGAGCCAGGACCAAAAAGGACGACAAGTTCGATCGAATTCAAGGATTGGCTAACTGTTTTCTTCGATTACCGTGGCCCAGTGCATCAGGAGTTCTTGCCACATAGTCATACGGTCAATAAGGAGTATTATCTTGAAGTTATGCGCCGCTTGCAAGAAGCAATACGAATAAAACGTCCGGTATTGTGGAAAAACAATTCATGGCTTTTGCATCACGATAATTAACCTGCTCATTCATCATGTTTTACCCAAAAACAACACCGTAATCATGCTTCAGCCTCAATATTCACCAGATTAAACGACTTTTTCCTGTTCCCAAGATTGAAGAGACCCATGGAAGGATGGCGTTTTGCCACGATTGAGGAGATACAAACAGAATCACTGAGACAGCTCAAAGACATACCAAAAAGTGCATATCAGAACTGCCACAAGTGTATTTTATCGGAGGGGCACTACTTAGAAGGGGGCAAAATAGATATTGTGTGCACCTAACCTATTTTCCTCTATATAAATAAATAACAAAACAACTGTTGTTTATGTAGCTTGTGGAGGTGATATTGAACTATCATTTATATTTTGCCTTAATTTGACACTATTGACATAATTCTTCGTCTTCTAGCATACTACTAACCTGAACTCCGATCTAGCATTCTAGACGCTGTTGTCAATATGTGAATTAGAAACAAATCCCTTTGACAATTAAAACCCAACATTTGAAAAATCAATTTGAATACTTTTCAAAATGAATTTGAAAAACTCATGAATTGAACTCAACTTTATTTTGTTCACACTTGCATTTTCTGTAATAACCCAAATTGAGGAACATTCCCCATTGTTTGAACAGACCTCATATATTGAACCATTGTTTTTTTGATTAGGTACTTTTACTATTTCTTATATTTGTATAAGACTGTTTCATTCAAGAGTTCGTTTATTGTTTTCATTTAAGAAGATAGACAAACAAAAAGTAAGTTTGGAGGGTGCAAATATGGATTTGAAAAAATTAAAAAATGATGCGATGATGCAGCTTTCACTAAAACATATTTTGCTACCATTGCTCGACTATTAAGAACAGATTAGATATTATCTATATTATTATCAGGGACACTATTTTCTCACGAAAGAATGATCCCATTATAGTGGATCATTATAGTGTTTATTTTGTGCTGAGTAGTGGACATATCATACTGTGCACATATATCCCATTATGAAGAAGCAATACCCTTGCGATTGATCTTACCAAATCGAGGCTTTCCTAAATCTCCTGTTGGACTGGAAGGACCTACACAGGATTGTATGAACGATTTCAAATGAGGAAAAGCACAAAGTCATTAATCATTTGTATTTCTGAAGTATATAGAGTATCACTTGAAATATTTTTGAATGAGATTGATAATAGTTTCTTTTCAAGAGGAGGGAGGATGGGAAAGGTGAGATTATCATTCTTTAAAACAACTCCAAACCATATGATACGCCGCAGTCCGAGAAAGGATCACAGACGTCTGGAACCCCCCACCCCTCAATCGTACACTTCAAATAGCAAAACCTTTAAAAATAGATAATTTACCAAAATTTAATTTCTGTTCAAATACTCTAAACAACGAAACAAAAAATTTAAAAAGAAACACTTTGATTCACAGTACAGCAAGATTGATTTTTTTGTTCCTGTTACCTTTAGTTAACATTGAGTAATTCAAATATTGAATGAAAGTCAGTTTTTGTGGAAGAAATCAATTTTTCTCCGACCTTTTTTGGGTTTTTTCACCTTTCACAAAAATCGTAGTAAACTTTATAACGTGTAGAAAGGCATACCTATTAGCTGATCCCGTTAAGTTTCTGCCTAATTTCAAAGTATTTTCCACATGAAAAATTTATGAGTAACTTTTCGTATTTAATGATTTTGCCTATCAAAAAAAATAAGCCAACAAATTATACAGATACTTATTTTGATATTTCATAGGTTAATATTACCTCCGTTTTCAGAATTGGAAAAAAAATCCAACGATTCTTGCTGTTTTTTTTTTGTTAATTTATTTTCAAAAACCCTCGATATATGTAATAAAAACCAAAGGGAATCAACAAATATTTCAGGCATGATAAAACTGATATTACTGAAAAAAAGGGAATATTTCAGATTTCAGCCTTCAACTTTGCTTCAATTATCTGCTCAGAACTACTTAAATGGGTTTCTTTTACACAAGAGCACAGCTGGTGACGTTATCACTCAATGCTGATTTGCAGCTGCAATCGACTAATTTGGCCATCCTTTCGAGGCATATAATCGCCATCGAGTACAGCCATTTTTGGAGAAAAAAATTTGAGACGGAGTTTTCCTGATTTAAATATTGATATACTGCATAATGTTTAATCGAACTCGGGATTTATGCACCTAAACAACTCAAACCCGAGTTTAATTCCGAACCAAAGAAGAAGATTAGTGGAAGCTGAGGTCATGAAACATGAAAGAGAAGAAGAAACAAGATGTCGATGTCATTATAATCAATCAACTGTCAAGAGTCAAATGATCTAAATATATGCAGCAAGTGAATAACGTGTGAATTTTTAAATGTATTTAGTGGTCATATATAAACATTTTAGTAGTTCAAATCAATAGGACAAAATGATAACACCGAGATTTAATTTAAGCCAGCAGGATAACTCTCTCATCATACGTATCAGGGCCCCCTATTGCAGTCTTAGAGATTTGGAGATCGACTGCATTCAAAACAGTTTTCTATTCTTCTGCAAGCCATACTACTTGAGGTTACAACTTCCGGGAAACATTGTAGATAATCAAAACACCCGCTCTTCATTTGATTGTGACTCAGGATATTTTACTTTCATTTATGACAAGGAAACTCCTGGAGAATTCTTTCCAGATCTTGAATATATTACAAAGTTTTTGGTTACTAAAGTAGATGCAAGTTATGACGAAAACGAGACAGAGCCAATAATGGTTCTTAGTGGAGAAATCACGCCAACAGAGGAGAAGATGATAAACGAAAATACAAAGCAAGGTTTCGGATTTGCATTGAAAACTCATAAAAAATTTGCGACGGTCATTTCAGAGTTTGATGAAGTTTTCGAAGTAAATCCTTGTGAAACAAGCTTGCTGGAAAGGCGAAAAATGAGGCTCCAATACGAGCAAGGAAAATTTGATATGGAACACTACTTAATGGATCTGGAGGATGAGGAACATGAAATCGGGGACAAACTTGCTCTTCCATTACCGTGGGAACACACAAGTGATGCTAGTTTGGTATTTACCAGTAAGGAATTAGATTTTTTGAAAGATCAAGCAAACAACCCTTATAACCTCACTGCACTTCAGATAAGGTATGCTTTCAACGGACTGATTGATATTTTGTATGCATACTGTTATGACAAACGGACCACAGACTTTGAAGGAAACTCTGAATCAGGCTGGACCATAGTCAAGTTAGCATCAACACTTAGCTGGTGCGAGGCATTTGAGGACCCCAAAGATGTGTTCGTTTCAGCTTTCCGAAGAACTCTAACTTATCCTTACTACCGCAGCTTTAAACTCGCTACAAAAGTTTTCGAAGATTTGAAAACGTTGCTGAAACATGACGAGAAGCTCATAATCAAGATTCTGATAGAAATTCATGAAATATTTCTATCAGGAGATTGCTGTAGGTACATTTTGAATAACTTGTTCATCAAAGATTATATAATGTATGTTATGAAATGGGACAAAACGAAATGGCGGCAGTTTTTGGAAGAAGTGTACGGTGTGGTTATTGTGAAAGATGATTTGGGGCTGAAGTTAGTTGAAAATGAGGAGAGTTTCAAGATAGAGAAAAAAATGAAGAGTTTACAAATCCAGGATCAAAGTGAATTGCTGGATTCTGACGATACAGACGAATCAGATAGTGATAGCAGTGACAGTGAAACAGACAGTGATTCTGAAACAAATAGTGACTACGATTCAAGTACTGATGAAGATGCAAAGTGATAGATACCAACTCAAACTATTCGAATTCTGAGACCCTCAACAACTACCTAAAAATTTAAAAAATATATGCCTCTTCCATATTATAGATCTTAACCTATATTTCTATTTATGCTTTTTGTGATCTGTTTTAAACATTAGTAATGTTTTTTCATCTTATAGTTACAAGTGATTTTGTTTATATCTCTCCTTTTTTCGAGAACATAATGTTAGCCCCTCTAATAATTTGCTGACCTTAGCTTATTGTCTCAATTTTAATTATAGGAACAAAGTTTTTTATTCATTTGTTATATTTTATACACAAGATACTTATAGAAGTAAGTATCTTCATGCTGAGTAATGCTTTAAATCATTTTTCATAAATATGATAGTTACATTTCAATTTGAAAAAGTTGAAATTACCTTCAACAAATAAAGAAGTTGTACAAGCCTGATTATGGTTTCATTCGAATATGCTTTTAGGAACCTTGGTATTTTAAACTTGTTTATATTACATGTTTTCACTAAAATCAATGACAAAAATGTATGCTACTACTGATAAAACTGTTGTTGTCAAAAATAATTTTTGATATTGTTAACCAAATATCTTCCTTTTACCAAAATTAAAATCTTATTACAATTAGAGTATATTTCAACATAAAAATTGGTACATATCTTCAATATTAGTTTCATTTAATGATTGTAAGGATCTTGTCCAAGTATATTGAATTGTGCTTGAGAAATTAATTATAACATCCTCATAGTTATTAAAAAATGCAGGAAAATCTCATGTTCATCTCAAAAACTCACTTGCATTCAGAATCTTTGAAACAAGTACTGCTATTTTTTTCCAATTGATTCATTCTTTTGAAAAAATGAAAACTAACGGTTGAATCTCAGACAAAATAGATAATAAATGATTTGGGAAAAGTGGTTTTGTTACTTTTCGATTGAACATCGATGCAAATAAAATGAAACTGATAAATATTCAAACTTACCGACTGTCGTATATCTCACAAAAGTCTCCTTATTCTCGATCATTGCATCGACTGCTAACTTTTCGCAATATTGAGCTGTGATGATGGCAATAGTGGGCTGTTTTGAGCTTACCATCGTTGGCATTTGTTTGACAATTGTAACTTGATGGGTGTCGTGTGATTGCTGGCGAGTAAAAGCACCGTGGTCCATAGCTTTGACCAATTGTCGTGATTGGAGCGCCGAAAGACATTGAGCAACTTCTTCCTCATCCCAACCATTTGCTCTAAAAAAATAAAGAGTATAATAAAAGTATATTATGGAAAAAAAGGACGGTTGGCCATTTTTGACAAAGATTATTTAGGCTGTATTATATATTAATTGTTCCGTATACTTTATACTTACTTGGCAACATCCTTTATTGTGATAGGGTTCGGATATGATGATTCTATGATTTCTAAAACCTTTTCTACAGTCAAAATCACAATATTTCCTAGAGAATTTTCTTCTGCTGAAACTGAAGAAAATTTGATTAACATCTATTCAAAACCCTATTTTTAGTAAGTTCACTTCTTGCCATTTTGACTATTTCTCTATATACTCTGCAATTACTTGCATTCAAGATTTAATTAAAAAATATTTCAAATTATTTCTAATAATAAGATTGGATATAATTGTAATATTACTGAAAAACAAAGCAAATAATGTAAATATCTCAAACTGAAAAAAAATGAAATTGTCATATTCACTGGTTGCATCATACTCATCCATAATCATAATTTGGGTCTGGCAACTGCATACATTTGGAATATTTCTTATTATAATGTAATAACTAATATCATATAACTTCCACACACAAAAAACTTATAAAATTGTTATGAATAACTAGCATTTTGTTAACTCTCGTTACACGGAATGGAAATCAAAATGATAAAAGCAAAAAAGAAAATCAAAATAAACTGTGGGGGTTATTGATTACAAAAAATTTCAACAAACATCAGTTCAAACCTTTATCGAACAAGGCCGATGGACTTAACTGAATACGACAGTAACCAGGTGGAGCTACAAAAAATGTTTCATGTCTTGAAAAATCGAAACTTCAGAAACAATATATTTCTTCATTTGAAATGTGTCTATTTTGTATATTTGGGAAATAGCAAAGAACACATTCAGATAGAAACATTTCAAATAAACTAAAATCTGACAAACTACCTACGTGGTCTTGATGGTACTTCTACGGGTTCTTCCAACTGTTTAAGTTCCACCTCCAATTTAACAATTGAATTGAAATTATGCTGCATGAGCTTCATTATTTTTTTGATAAAGCCTACGTAATCTGCAAAAGAGAAAAAAAATTTAATTATTTCATGAAAAAATTGTAAAACAAACATTTAGTCATTATTTATTCTTCTCACCTCTAGGAAACTCTTGGGGGCTAACGAGCTCCCTGAAGAAGTCTTGGGCAGTGCCTGCTTGCCCACCGTCAGTCTCATCTTGAGCACCTTGAGGTTCCCTGAACCAAAACCTTATCGTTCGAGATTCTTGTGTGTGTTTTCCTGTCTCTTTATTAACTAAAAATACTCTGAATTCCAGAGACAACTGTGCTGGTGTCGAACATGTCCCATTCTCTAAAAGTGCAAATAATTTATGAGGAAGAGTCAACAGAGTAGTTCTAAGAGTGATGATTGGTAAATAATGTTGGCACTTCTGTACAATTGACAACTTAAAAAATGACTTTTTTGCTATTACACTCATTTGTTTAATGAACAAATGTTATACCAATCAAAAATATGAAGTTTATAGAACATACAAACGTTGGGTTGCCTATTATTTTCCTGGAGCAACTTGGGTTGGCAGGTATAAACACGTTAGTCAAAACTAGTGATTCACGCCTATCTGTTTAATAGATAATTTATACATCAAAATCAGCGTTGAACAGGAACACGATGATACACCTAGTACTGTCTGCGAAAAAGTTGGTTTGAATGGCGAGATTTAAATTTTGATACGAGTGAAGATTTACTTACGCGTTCTATAAAATCCGAGAAAGTTCTGAATATAGGTATCTGATAAAATAAAAAACAACGAAAAATAATCAAAAAATAGCGGATATAAGTGAAAAATATGTACGGCTAAAATTGGAATAAGTAAATAAAGATGTGTAGGTATTGACTTGTCTGAGATGCTGTCAAAATTAAATCAAAATGGCCGTCTGTAGGCACACATGTTGTTTGTTCTAATGGAAATAAAACTAGAAAAATCCATAATCAACTTGTCTTTGTGAGTAATTGTGTTGCTGCTTGCTGAAATTGGTTGTCTGAGGCTGATTTTACATATCAATCGTCCTTCATAACATAAAAGCATACCTACAACGTGTTGTGTCGTAAATTGCGGAAGCTGTGGGGATCGTGATTGGTGAATTTTTACAAAATACCTAGTGAATTTCTGCTTTTACCAAAGGCAAGAAGCAGTTGCATCCAATTGAATTAGAAATTAGAAGCAACTAGAGCTATTGCACATGTCAGGAGTCATGTAGAAAGAGTAATAGGTTGCATTCGTCAAAAATATAGGATACTATCAGATTATGTGCCAATTTCTCTGCTTGTTTGTGGTGAAGATGATACGATCTTGGATAAAATAGTGACTGTGTGTTGTGGATTGATTAATACCTGGCCACCAATAGTACCTTTGAGTTAGATTGAATTTATAATAAAAAACCTCATGAAATTGTTTTTGTAAATTATTTATAATATACTTAGTCTAGATTTTTATTTTTGTTCCAACTGTCGTGATATGTTTTATTGTATTGTATTATTGCAAAATCATATTTCAGATCATAGAGCTGAATTTCATATTGTTTTGTTTATTCTCCCCGTCAGACGAGAAAGTCAGTTTCAATACACATTCATTGAAAAAGATGATCCACAATAATGATTATTTTAAAAAAGTGATTTCTCTTGAAGATACATATTCAGAGAAAATTATGAATAAATCAAGTTTGAAAAATATCTAAATACCTTGGCAATCACAACAATGTGCTCTCCGATTGACTTTGCTTCACAATCATGCACAAATCCAGCTTCAAAATATTTGTAGCCAGTCAAACTTTTGTAGGCCTTCATCTGTTGATTTGTATAGAAACTATGAGTTAGCACCAGATAAGAACTCGTATCGAAAGCGGTAACTGGTGGAAAACATTCTATAGAACTGTTCATTTCTTCTGAAGTGAAAGTAAAAGAATCCAAGCACTGTATCACTCTGATTTTATCTTTGTACTGCACAGCAATGTCTTTGTTTTTACATTCCAATATTAGAAAATAATCACTTTTATTACTAACAGCCATCATAATTATTTTCACAGCTTCCAAAGATAACAAAACACGAAAAAACCGTCAAATACCTATGTCATTATACTCATTGTGTGCCTACAGGCGGCCATATTGTTCGAGAATTGGTCACGTGTTCTGGACATCCTAATAAAATAATTACATAACCAAACTGCCGACAGTTCATTAGTTGTGACAACAACAATTTATGTGATGTAAAAGAAATGAAACCGTAGAAACCTTTCAATAGACATCATAACAATGTAAACTGTCAAATGATACGTCATCAATTTGGACTCGGACTTACGTTTGTATAGCTATTTCTCTTCGATGTACCGATTGCAAATTATTATTGGTGACTAGTCGAAACGCGAGGCGTGAACGGCACGAACCCCCCAACCGTGTGAACGTTTTATAAATTCACACTTTCGTGAGTGTCACGAACGAAAGTTGACTAGCGTGGTTAACTGTCGTGATTAACGCCTCGTGGGAACGCCGCTTTAATATGATTTTTTAGGAAGACAAGGAACATCTCACCTGTTACTGTTTCTTTATTTATGATTATCCCCGTGTGTTCACCTCCTGCCACGTGCATTTTATCATTTGTTTTGCTAACTTTCCTCCTCTCTATTATCAGAGTCGTCGAATTATGGGTTTTGCCTTTGGGTGTCATGACGACCTGTTCATGTTCATTTGTTTCAGTCATTTTGCTATAAAAGAAAATGGAGCAAATTATTCGATTCTGCCAATGATGTTCTAGAGATGAATATTAGTAAATGTTATTGGGTCTAACAACAGAGACTTCCGAACTTTGACAATTGATAATGGCCATCTTGTTGAACTATATTTGTCAAATTGATTGTTATTTGTTGAGTCTGTTATGTCTGTCATTATGAACGAATGTAGCTCTCAACAACACATGCAAATAATAACATTGTTTTTATTAACTTTGTCTCGTTTGGTGATCCAAAATATTTTCAAATGCGGTTTTTTCTATTGGTTGGGAAAGGGGTCAAAAATGTTCGTAGATAAACAATTTAGTTTTATTCCAACGTTTCTGACTTTATTAAATCCATCATCAGGGCTCAAACATTAGTTATCCATGTCAAAAAACTGTCAACTGTTGCTCTATACAATAGATAATAGTAAAAATATAAAATGACATTTTTTTTTACTAAATTCTGCCCACTGGGTGTTATTATCAATGTGGTGAAGCAACTTGAATTGTTTCATCAACACGAATTCATCATTTCTTAAAACACCAACTTTTAGAAAACAAAAACTATGTTCTGAATAAAATGCATTTCACTGAAATTGGTGTAAATCAATATAATATCTGAAAATACACACTGATCATTCAGATTCACAGTCAAACAGACAACAGCATCCAAAATGTTCTGAAAACAAAATTCTACAATATATATGTCACGTTCAATTTAAAAAAATATTCACCTATGGAGTATTATCAGTTTTATATTACAAACAAGCTACAGCTTGTCGAATCGAGGAAGAGACTTGAAAATTTTCTCTCTCTCTCTTGCTCTCATAGTCTTCTACCGAACGCACATCTAGTGGGCGGGTTCATAACGGAATTCAGAAAGCTCTTCCTTCATTTGACAAGCTGTACACTGATGTATTACGTCCTCGATTCGAAATGTTTCCCGAATTCTTTAGTTACAACTGTGTTGTAGAGAGGGCACTGATATCAAAGGTTCATTTCTTCATTTGATAACTACTGTTTTCTTTGCATTTTGGGCCAAGCCAGCTCTGCAGTGACGGCTCGTGCATTGGAGAACAGGGGAGGCTCAAGTCACACAGAAAAGCCCGCCGGAAGCCCGAAAATTTTTATGTTGCTGCACGCTTTGCTTAATACTAAAGTTAGGGCATGGGCATGACAATGCGTAAGAAGTGCATGAGGAGCTATGGACTTCATTTTAGTTTGTAAACCATTTAAATGACCGGCCATGACCGCATATCTTTCAATTTATTGCGATGAATAGCCTCAAATTTTATGGGGAGGCTAAGCCTCCCTTGCCTCCTCTGACGAGCCGCCGCTGCAGCTCTGACCTCTTTTCTCTCTCCTATAACTCATTTCCTGAGTTGATCTAGACTAGAGCACCTATTCAAGAATAACAGCCTGTCATTGTTTAGATTAAGAACTCTACATCACCTTGTTAACGTTTCATTGAACTTATTAGGAAGACTCGAGGTTTATAAATAGATTATGAATTGTTTTAAATGGATATTGATTACGACGTAAATTTCTAAAGTTTGTCACGCGAGCAGCCAGCTTTCGATTACTTTCCGATGGAGTCAAGGACTTTTACTATAAGCAACTTCATAGAAATATGTAAAGCGGCAACATTAAAAAGTCAAACAAAGAAAGTGTCAGTTGTGAAAGATATCGGATATAATTTCTAATCACTATTCTCAACAGTTAAACCCGCTCATATCATGTATTTAAAAACCAAAGCATTGTCTGAGGAATGACCAAAGATAATATTTCATAGTTATACAATACTTGAACGACATTATTTAATGCCTACTTATAATGAAAATGTTTTTGTTTAAAATTGTAACACTATCCCACAACTGAAATCTAGATATAATTTTCCGACAGCTTACCAAAATAAACTGTATATCCTGCGACGTCCTTGAAATCTTATCATCCTCATTTAAGACCCACATTAATGATGCCGTTTCAATATTTTAACATTCCAACTTTCGAACATCATAGTCTAGTTTACGAATGTTTCCTAATAAACACTTGCATAACCAGTACTCCAACAGCAAAAATGTATCACTATCACTGCGGTTCTTCATCAATTATGATTCTGTTTAGTTGATTTTTGCTAATTGCAAGTTAACATAAAAACCAAGATAACTTTCAAATTAAAAACCGAGGGTCTTTTCAGTTCTTGAAATTGAAGGATCAAGAAAAGAGCGCCATTGGAAAAAGTGAAAACTTCTATTTTTTTACTTTATTCATTAACAATCAAAGGCATTGCAGGATTAAAAAGGAGAATGAAGCACAAAAAAAGGTTCTCAATGATTATTTTAAATTGGAAGGGGTATATTTTTAAGAGATTGATGATTGCTAGGTAGGTAATAATTTGTTTCAATTTTCATATTGTTCAAAAAGTTGTAACACACAAATACAGGTCATGAAACATGAAAGAGAAG